ATAATTGTTTTTATTTACAGATGTTTTTTTTTTCTGTAAGCATTGCTTCCACGATCATAAGTCTGTTTTTATTATTTGATTTTGCTAGTATTAAGGTATTGTTTGTGAGTCTAATGTTACTATGTCTAATGTTACTATGGTCCTTATGCTGCTTATTAATGTGTTGTCTGATGGCACTCTGGTCTGATAGGTAGCAAGTTGATATAAATTTGATATATGTTCGAGGATTCTTTGAGTGCTCGACGGCAGGGTGAGGTGATATAGCGTGATGTGAATGTCTGTGACTTCCGATGATATAATCCCATTTTGAATTTTTTCTGTGCAAAATAAATGTCAATTTTTTCTCTGTGTTGAATATGCATCATTTGTGTACATACACTACAGTTCTTAAGTTTGAAGCCGCCCTGAGAATTAGCATGGGATGAACTTGACAGAAGAGTGAAAAAAAATCAAAAGAGCTCTTAGAATCATTGAAAAAAGAATGGAATCAATTATCAAACTTATACTTTGAGAAACTTTTGCAACAAATGCCAAAAATATATGCTGCAGTAATCAAGGCTAAAGGAGGACAGTTTGACGAGAGTAACATTTAATCATAATTTTTTTTCTTTTTGTCATAATAAAATGTTTAATAAAAAAATCAGTCCTCACTTTTTTTTAACCATGTATAATAATTTTCTCGGTATTTACCCGAGAGGTCCCCACAAGGCGGGATGTGGCCCAAGGCCGGTTTTTAACGTGGGCTTTCCGAGTGCATTTCCTCAAGCAAAAATTCTCCGTAAACCTCGCATACACGGGGTCGGGTAGTTGTCTACCTCGCCAGACGTGACTCTGCCCGTATAGCGTCGTCTATATTCCTCCTTGCCTGAAAGCAAAGAATCCGATCAGCTGAGCTTTGATAATTTTCTCTTATTTAAAGTACAAAACAACTACGTTTTGGGCCAGTTTTTTTTTTAAATTACCAGGGTTGGCCTTAAATTTTTGAACTGTAGTGAATATCTATAAGGCATTTTAGAAATAGCCTGATGGATTATTTTGAAATCTATGACCTCTTTTCCACAGACGAAATGTTACGAGCCACTCGCTGCTTTATTGCTATTTCCATGTCATGTGTTCTGTCGAGTTACATTCATTAGTCCCACCGACCCTGACATTTACAACTGGGATCCACCATGCCACGTACGCAAGAGTGAATCATCCCTATTACCTTCGTATTCCTATAGTAAGAAGTCAATTCCATTCGGAAATCTTCTTCCCAAGAACTGGTGCTTTGTGGAACAAATTCCCAGCAGGATATTTTGTCAGTCATTACAATCTTGACCTCTTCAAGTTTAAAGTTAACCGTTGTCTTTCCTACAAAGCCGATGCACTTCACATCCTGCCCTTTCTTATGCTCATGCAAAATCACGCAGTAACGCTCTACCTTGAGTGGCACTTGGGCCTTGTATTGGGTGAACATTAATAATAAATCTGATGATCCTAGCGGCAAGCATTCGTCTGTGCCAAATATAAGTATTCTTTCTTAATCAGAGGCTTCCAAGTGGTCTTTATCTTTACGATAGGTCTACTGATTATGTTGTAGTAGCAAATGCATTGGAAATAGTTTTACTATAGATATTCAGTAAAAATCAGCAAGGAAGGGATTGCCAGTTGTAAGCATTTAACCTATTAATACCTGTCGCGTCATTTGCGGTAGCATTTTTGTGTTATACGTAGAAACCTACCGTAGTCGAATTTTCAAGCCTAGAATATTTTGTGTCCCAGATTTTGGTCACTGGTAGCCTGCCGTATGTTTGAGTGTCAACCTATACAAAAAGTGTAGGTCTAACTCTAAATTTCAAGCTAAAAATCTTGAGGCCGACTTGTACACCGCAAGTTCCTGCTCGATGCGTATCCAAATGTAAACAAATGACGTCACACATTATGAAGTGGACAAAGTCCGACAATTATTTTAAGACATTTTTATGTTTATACATTCTTTTTTATTTAAGTAAATATTTGTATCTATAAAAGATATATATATATATATATATATATATATATATATATATATATATATATATATATATGATCTACCGTCATAGATTAATTAAAAGATTCAATTTGATATTTACTGAAATTTACCTCGAACTGATGAAGGTTGTCAGCACAGTGCCTGAAATGTGATAACAACAACAAAGATGAGGACAATAATCTGAGTCTAAATAATGCAAATAGTGACAATTCCTTATCCCGGAAATACAGTTAGAAAATCAATGTCTTTATGTAACAAGACAAAAAGAGTAGTTTGCATACTGGAATGGTATGGAACTCTGATCTCAAGTTAAGACATTTTGTATTGTGCAAAAGTTTTACTATGTAAATGAGAATTGGATCAAGGAACAGAGATGAAATTTTACAGATATTTCTTAAATGATATAACAGCATCTAAAAAGGCTATAAAATTCCAAGTATAATTCAATAATTTTTAATTTCTGAGGTGGTTGCTCTGGATCAAGGCAGGCCATTGAAAATGAGTAGTTAATCTCAGCATGTACCTTGATTTTTATGAAGATGTAGTAATAGACACTTGTGTATGGAAAAGATATTTATCAATAGTAATCAAAGAACACAATGTGGGAAGATCAGATGAATGAACAAAGCAGTCAACATATAATCATCAGTTGACCAGCATCTGCACTAAACAGCATAGGAAAAATCTCAGGTCAAGCCATACTGTTATGGTTAGCTTCCTATAATAGCTGTAAAATCTCAGGTCAAGCCATACAGGACGTGTTATGGTAGCTTCCTATAAAAGCTGCAAAGTTATAATTTTGCAGAAAGATCTTATTTTCAGTTTTGTTTAAATTTTAATAACTGAAAGTACTGATAAAATTGTATTAAAGTTGTTTAAGTTACTATATAAACAAGGCTTGGCTATAAGATTACTGCTTTTAGTAATACATCTAGTGCCCACATGGAATACTTTGAAGAATTTGTCCTTGGACTGTCCGTATAAATCCTTAAATCATGGCTAAGTTATTGGAATGATGCCTTTATACTTGAGTTCCACTTCATTGTCAGACTTAAATATGCATTTCAGTGTTTTCACAATAGATATTAACCAATAAATACAGGTAAAATTTTTAATAAATTATTTGAATAAAACAAAGATGAGGACAATGATCTGAGTCTAAATAATGCAAATAGTGACAATTCCTTATCCCGGAAATACAGTTAGAAAATCAATGTCTTTATGTAACAAGACAAAAAGAGTAGTTTGCATACTGGAATGGTATGGAACTCTGATCTCAAGCAAAGATATTTTGTATTGTGCAAAAGTTTTACTATGTAAATGAGAATTGGATCAAGGAACAGAGATGAAATTTTACAGACATTTCTTAAATGATATAACAACATCTGAAAAGGCTATAAAATTTCGAGTATAAGTTGATAATTTTTAATTTCTGGCTTTAAATAACCTGCAAAGTGTTGATAAGCCGTAGAAAACGAATCAATCAATCAAAAACTTATAAATTCCCCTCTTCTCCCCACCACTTCAGCTATGGGTTATTTAGTAGGATATGTTATCAGTAAATCATTCAGTTATGTGCCATGCGTGATACACGCTTAGGCGATCATGTATCTTTCGATACATGACTGACGAGGCAGATTTTTTTCCCGCAGTAGATTGCCATTTCTTTCTGCAGTCGACCAGTTGCCATCCAAGGCTGTAGAACCCGGTCTATCCTACTATTTTACCCATAACTGGAGGAGATTCATACCTTTCCCAAGGGTATTATTAGCGCGTAAGTGAATGTAATGGATTCGACTGGAATTCGAACTTGGCTCTCCGATTTCTCAATCCGAGCTATCCATTGGCTCCAAAAGAATTCTTATAATCTAAAAATATTTTATGGTTTTAAATAACCTGAAAAGGGTTGGTAAACCGTAAAAACCAAAAAAAGAAATTAATCAATCAATACAGCAAAAGTTTTCGGTGCAGAATTGATCATAATACGTAACTTGGCGAATGTCTTTTTTGTAGCTTATATAGCGTCGTATTTCTCGCAGTTGCTATTCGCGCAGCACAATCTTCCCAGACAGTATTCCCAACTTTTATTGACCCTGTGCTGCACTAAATTAAACTTAAGTATCATTTAATACGACAGCGAATCGAGAATAACATTAAAAAAAAAGAAAAAAACGCTCGATTACTTGCATTTTGTCATTTCGACTTTCGTTGGTATTAGTCTGAATGTAGAAATAGCTGCGAATAATTTAAATGCCTGCAGTTAAAAATATCCGATGCTCCATGCTGCGCTATTTGGGCCTTCATCTCTCAGAAGACACTATGAGAGAGAGAGAGAGAGAGAGAGAGAGAGAGAGAGAGAGAGAGAGAGAGAGAGCGGAGTGGGGAAAGCGGAGAGATAACAAAGTTGAAGAGCTCATGAAACTGATATAGAGTGGGTTAAAGTCGAAGTAGAAGACGAAGAAATACAGAAACAATGAACGAAAGAGAAATTATGCAAAGCAACGAGAGGGGAGAGTTTGTTAACAGACCAATCTATCTATCTATCTATCTATCTATCTATCTATAAAATTCTATCTATCTATAAAATTCTGTGACTCCTGTTAGTCTGTCCGTCCTCTAAAATATCCATACAATGACCGTTCGAAACCATATTTTGTGGAGAAGTGCAAACAAGTAAAGGGGGTACAAAGTAAAAAAAAAGTTTTACCAGGGTATTGTCTTTTAGTACAATAAATTTTCATTAATTATTTTGAAAAAATAACAGTTTTATTATTTAACATACAAAATACTCCCATTATTTTAAAATCAATTTAATGATTAAACTAACAAATACATGTTTAATAAAAATGCAATATTGTTTTTTTTTTTTTTTTTTTTTGTATATCTTTTCTTTTATATATATTTAATTCTGGTAGAATATAATGCAGAGTAGTAACACTGTAAATATAAACACAGTAGGGAGAGGAGAATTTGTAAAGCTATAACTTCAACAAACTGTTAAAAAAGACAAGTATTTAGTAAAAATGACAGAGAGAGAGGGGGGTAAAGTGAAAGAAAGAAAGAAAGAAAGAAAAGAAGAAAGAAAGAAAGAAAGAAAAGAAAAAAGAAAGGAAAAAGAAAGAAAAGAAGAAAGAAAGGAAGGAAGAAAGAAAGGAAGAAAAATTAATTGGCATAAAGAAAAGGTAGATGAACGGTTGTTAATAGATGGACGCTCAACAGAAAGAGAGAATAATACTGATTAAAGGATATAATATATATATATATATATCTTTCTACGTTTTCATTTCGTTTTACCCGTTATTTCGTTATATATATATATATATATATATATATATATATATATATATATATATATATATACAGAGGAGAGATAGAAAGAAAGAAAGAAAGAAAGAAAGAAAGGAATAGAAATTAAATTGAAAAAATACTGGTGAATGTTTGCGTTGTTAAGAGGCCAACACTGAATAAAAAGACAAAGAGAAAGAGTTGGTAAAACTGACAGTGAGAGTGGTAAAGTCGAATTGGAACACAGAGCGGAAGACAATGAAAGAAAATAATGACCAGAAAGAAAGAGAGAGTGGAGGATCGAGAAGGGAGAGGGTCTGGTTGGTTACGCTGAACAAAGATTGGTTAAACCTCAGGTGAGAGAAGTCCTACGCTTTCACCGAACAGAAATCAAAAGTTTATATGTTTAGATTGAAACGCGGAACGAGGCTTCGTAGCCTGATATAAAACTAACAAAATATCAACTCTACCTTAATACAGGGATCGCTAACCTTTAGGGTGATCGGCCGATCGAAGTAAGTTTAAAGTTCTACCTTTTTTGAAAATGTCTGTTAGTCTTTTTTATTCATAGCAAGACTAAAGAAAGAACCTGTGAAAAGGAGACACTAACGTTTAGTAAGAAAGTTTGCTTGGTAACGTAGCGGAGAAAAATCATTTTTAATATTACTGAAAATAAATGTTAGAAAACAAGCAAACAAAAGGCCCAATTGTTCGTAAAATTGTCTCGCAAATCAATTTACCAGTGCAGTGCGATCGATGCTTAGTTCAGCACTCATTATACTGCCAAAAATCTAAGCTAAAGATCTCCGGGAGTTGGAGTAACAATCACAAAACTTGTCTCGCATGCAACCACTATCGTCATGAGTTCGATCCTCACTGGCTGCCCTACAATTGTGACTTTGTGCCTAAGCTGAGTGAATATGAATAAAAATAAAAATAAAAGAAATAAAATACCGAATAAATCTCATCAATATTTCTCTGAGGATCGATATTATTGGACAGTTCAATGAAAACGGCGCTCACTACGACAGTGATGTCATCTCCTGCCACTACTGTTCGGATGAAGGATAATGGATATTTATATTTATATATATATATATATTTATATATATGGCTGGCAGTTGAGGGAAGTCAAGGAAAGAGTTTGATTTATGTACTCAAGTGGAAGTATTTGTGAGTGACATTGTGAAAGACGAATGATACTGTTCAAGCATCCATTTTAATTCCAGTACCAAATGGACACAAATCTGTTTAAGGGAAACTAGCGGCACCCTGTCGACACCTAGATTACTTCATTACAAATTAACGTCTCCCCCATGAAAACATCTGGCGACTAAATTGCAGAAGAACACACACACATGCACATACAGACACACACACACACACACACACACACATATATATATATATGTATATGATGGAGGTTAACATGAAACAGTCTGTCGCCTCTGAGTGTTGACTTCAATGTTCATATTTATATTTACATACGGTCTATCTCTGATATCGAGCACTTTATCCCTAAATATAGCATACTTTAAAATTATATTTCTTCATATATATATATATATATATATATATATATATATATATATATATATATATGTATGTATAATTTATTTATTTAAAAATATGATTCCTTCTCTACATAAGAGTTATCATGTTTCAAAACAAGACCATAAATCTTCAATATAATTATTAGAATTAAATTGAATTAAATTACCAAGCTAGCACTGTTTTTTAAAAATAAAAACGAAAATACGTAAGAACTTCGGATTGTTTACATAATATATATTTTCACACACACACACACACACACACACACACACACACACACACACACACACATATATATATATATATATATATATGAAAGTAAGATTTTTTTATATATCACACACAGGTAAAAATATATAGGAAAAAAAGTTGAAACTGCAAATGGAATCTTTAAGAATATTTATTTAGAGTAACTTTACTGGTTTCAATTTAAATTGCTTTGGAGAAGCGTGTGGCTATGCCATGATTTGTTTCGCATATATATATATATATATATATATATATATATACCCACACAAATATCAATAGTAAATGTACAACCTTAAAATTAAGAAATATATTCTTCCAAAAATGATTTTCAAATCAAAAGAGAAAAATTGATTGAGATTTGATTCATCAAATATTATTTAAAAAAATATAACAGCAACACAGATCAATGCTTTGTCTTAAAAGAGATACGTTAATGTTACGATATTTTATCCAATATCACGAGTGACGAAACGTCGATTTTCCTTTTCTACGTTTATGAGACGAAAAGAGAGAATCTGCATATATTAATACACTATAAATACATACATACATACATACACACACACACACACACATATATATATATATATATATATATATATATATATTAAGAAATATACATAACATCTTATATTAAAAGCAACAAAATAATGTTAATAAATGAAAATAAATATAATAATTCCAGCACTTGAAAATTGCTTCTGCATGAAACTCGGAGTTGTGCAATTAATATGTATATTTCTTAATATATATGTTAACGAGCTCTGATACTTAATATTCACTACTGTTTTTTCTTATACTATAGAGTATTTATATGCATTTGTATACAATCGCTCGCTCGTATACCTACCTATATTTCTCGTTCAGTTATACACACACACACATATATATATATATATATATATATATATATATATATATATATATATATATATATAAAAAACAAGACCTATGCTTAGAAATCGAACAGTGTGTAGTCAAGCAAATCAGAAATATGTATTGGAATTTCGTCTAATAAACCATCTAATAAAATACCTTCAAAGAAACATGACAAGTTAAATAAGACAAGAAACTACTTTTATTAGACTGTCTTCAGTCCAAAAAAAAAAAAAAAAAAAAAAAAGAGAAAAAACTGCGCATTATTATTATTCCTTGACTTTTCACACATCTGTAGTAACTAGTGGCTTACTTTGGGGATTAAGAGACAGCAAGCCTTCTTAATACTTCATCTCTCTCCTAAATGCTGTTGTCTCGATTCTTCTCCGGGATTCCAGTTCCTTCAGCCATTTCGAAAGACTTTTCAGTATCATACCCAGAGACCGGAAAACGATCAATACAACTGTCATATGAAAGTTTCCCGCCTGTAGTAATTGACGGCTCTCCTCGAAGATCAAGCAATAGCAAATCACTCGAATACTTCAGGACTTCTCTTGGTATTCTGATTTTGGTAATACCAATGTCTGGATGATTTCATTTATTCGTTGGAGTTCCAATTCTTCCAATCTTTTTTTTTTTTTTTTTTTGTGAAGACTATCGGGACTTTTCCAAGCAATCTAATAATTACCACCTCCATCTTCCTGAATTTGTTTTAATCTCTAGTAAAACACATATATTTGTCCTCTCTTTTTCAAATTTAGTCGGTAGTCTCCTGAAGAGGTGACACCCACTGACAATTCTTTTTCCTAAAGTGATTAAATCTCGTCACTTGTGAGATCAGTTTGAATTTCAAAGTATCAGATAATTTTGCCCTTTTCCTTTTGACAAGAACAGCTTTTGATTAATGCTTATATTAAAGCCATTTGCACAATTCGATGCGAAACAGCGTTCCTACCCAGTCATATGTAGTTTTACGCACCTTCTGAGATTATTTCCATTCGATGCCTGACAGTTTCGTCTCTCTCATCGCATATTCGACTTTGATCTTGGATTAATATTTTTGTAATGCCCATATGTAAGAGAGACTTTGTAAATCGCAGATACAATAACAGTAACGCCTTCGAACAATTCTCCATCAAACGCCGCTAATTCCTATATATATATATTTATTCCGTTACCCGTCACGTGATCTAATTATTTCAAGATGAGGTCGACTGTGCTTGCTCTGTGGCGATCCGTGTTCAAACCCAAGTGTCAGCAGCGACACTTTATTCTTCTATGACAAATATATACACATTTCTTTCCGGGTCCCGTCCAGAGACCTAAGCCCAGATATGGCATCATGGCGTTTTCCATTGAGCAGCTTAAAAAAATCACACATATTTTACATGGACAAAGCCCTTCGTAAGGTGTAGGCTGTACTCGTGAGAACGATTTTTTTTGCATTTCTTTAAGGCATGGGCTACCAGGAATCCCTTCAATAATTCTATTGGAATCTTTTCCAATCAATCTGAGGGCTCCAACTCCAACTGGAATTGTTGATACTCTCATGTTATTATTATTATCATTACACAAAAGATGTATGGTAGACTGCACTGGGAATCCAAGTGAAGGAAAACTAATCTTGTCTTCAGTATTCTTTATTTGACTTCAACAATTTCATCGTCTGCAACCTCTCTGTTCTTTGAAGAGTCGTTTTGGGATTGCTTCTAGTGCTCTGAGTATTATGGCCACAATTTTCACATTTTGATTGTGGAGAAAAATTTTTTATATATTTTTCATGATACATGTAAAAAAAAAAAAGGAAAAAATGTCTTATAGATAGAATAAAATAAAATATTAGAAACCCAAGAACGGTTAAAAAAAAAACCCAGAACGAGAAAGAAACATATGTTCATTCATTATACAATATCATTATGGTCTTCTCTTGAAAGGAATATACACATATCTTTTCCGGACATATGTAACTGAAGTTCATTATTTGTTTTTATTGTAAAGCCCCCCTCTCCACAAAAAAAAAAAACCCAAAAAAACAAAAAACAGCTAAATAAATAAAAAACAAATATTAAAATCAGTGCCAAGAAGAAAATGATGGCCATAAAATGTGCTGAAATCTGAAAATATTCAAAAGTATTTTAAAATTGTTTGGCTGTTATTTTTATCTACATCAAGATTTCTTCTCTTAGAAAACAAAGCTTAAGCACAAGGTTAAAAAACAAAACAAAAATACCACCATAAAAAAGAGACAAAAAAAAACAAAAAGTAATAGCTATTAGGAAAGAAATAATTTGTTTTTCTCAAACGAATGTAACAGAAGCTCTCGTCATTGAAAGGAACCGAGGTTATCGGAGATTTTAGCAAACTACCGCATTTCACTGGATTTCGTGCGTGACATTTTATATATATATATATAATGAAAACGAAATTGGAAAATATCGATATGAATTGAATGTTACGTTCTCTCGGAGTTTTGGAAAAATATTGATCTTAACAGAAGCGGAAAAACAAAAATACCTTGCAAAATTTGATATTGTTTCATGAAGCTGAATACCCCCTCCCCACCCGACCTCATTTTTATATCAGTTGCTATAATATGTTAATCCCATCGCAGAAAGAATCCAACTCTAAAAAAAAGAAAAAAAACTCTCTAAGAATTAAAGATTTAAAGATTCCAAAGGTGGAAGCGAGCAAAACTTAAATTCACAATTTAAACTTATTGTTGGCATTTCGAAGATAATTTTCATATATAATTCAGACGGAATTTTTAAAAAAATGGAGGAATGTTTTTAAATGGAGAAATATTTATACATATATTGTTCTTTTTAAGTCTAAAAATTAAACTTTCTAAGAATTAAAGATTTAAATATTCCAGACGGAAGCGAGCAAAGCCTAAATAAATTCACTATTTAAACTTATTTTTGGCATTTCGAGGATAATTTTCGTATATAATTCAGACTAAATTTTAAAAAAATGGAGGATTTTTTTTGATGGAGGAATATTTATACATATATTGTTCTTTTTAAGTCTTCCATAATAAAAGGGACCATAAAATAATTTTGACAGGTTAAATTAAAAAGAAAAATATACCATACTTTTTAAAAGAACCCTATTACGAATTAATCAATTAAAACACTTTTCACTATTTGTTTTCGTATAATTAGCATCTTTCAACAAAACTGATGATTTAAACGTTAACCACACGACAAAGTCAGCGGAATATATTTCTTTGGTTAAATATTATAAACAACCCCAAGAATGATTGTTTTTGAATAATCGAATAAACACATTTCCGAGTGCAACTTAGCAGCAATTAGAAGTGACGATTCTTACATTTTCGCAGGGCAAACAAAAATGCAGGCAAAAGGAACTGAGAATTGCGTCGACGCAAAGCAGCCCAATTACCAAGTTCAATATATAGTACTGAAAAATACAGACAACTACGACTTGGCAACGACCCCAGTCGGTGCCACCCATCGATCTCATCTCAAAGTGGCCCACCTTTACTTAGCACCTGCCAATTTCGCAAGGTGTCGCTCCAGGCCATCTATGTCAAATGAAACGTTAGAGAAGGACGCACAATAAAGTTATTAAATAATAATAATAATAATAATAATAATAATAATAATAATAGATAGATAGATAGATAGATATGAAGGTATTTGAAAATGTTACTGAATAAATCAAAAGTGTATACTACTCAACAGGTATCTGCCGGAAAGCCGATTTTCCCAGAGTACTAGGCCCGAGTCAATACCACTACTTGTAGCCTTCGGGTCATCACGATAAACCTTTCATTATTCTAAAAGCTGGGTTTTTGTATGCATTCATGTCATAACGAAATGTAAATGTGTATGAATGTTAATACTACTTTATCAAGAACAGAGGAGAAAGGAAGATAAGAAGGAAGTTTTCTTTCCCAATTATTTAAAACGAAGAAAGAAAATTTATATTACGAGTTAAAATGAGGTCAATGGGAAAGAAAGGCGAAAGCGCGTAAAGGTCCTTTTTTGCCGTTTACTTTTAAATATCTGGAAAAGAATGAAGTATGATATAAAAAGAAAGAGAGAAAAGAAAAAGAACAAGTAATAAGTGTATTAGAAAGAGAAAGAACAAACAATAAAGAAAGAAAGAAAGAAAGAGAGAAAAAGCATCAATAGAATGAATTTTAATTTTCAATCTAAATATTGCTTTTGAAAGGAAAAGAAATTCATCGAGATTGCTTATAACGAACGAGTACAGAAAGAAAGAAATATCTGAAAATTGTTTATAATCGAGAGAGAAAGAAATAAATTACACAAAATTGTTTATAACGAGGAGAGAAAAAAATTTCTCAAAATTGTTTATAACGAGGACAGAAAAAGATACATTTCTCAAAATTGTTCGTAATCAGGACAAAATTTCTCAAAATTGTTTATAACGTGGAGAGAAAAAAGAAATCTCAAAATTGTTTACAACGAGAACAAAAAGAAAGGATATTTCTCAAAATTGTTTATAACGAGGACAGAAAAAGATACATTTCTCAAAATTGTTCGTAATCAGGACAGAAAGAAAAGAAATTTCTCAAAATTGTTTACAACGAGGACAAAAAGAAAGGATATTTCTCAAAATTGTTTATAACGAGGACAGAAAAAGATACATTTCTTAAAATTGTTCATAATCAGGACAGAAAGAAAAGAAATTTCTCAAAATTGTTTATAACGTGGAGAGAAAGAAATTTCTCAAAATTGTTTACAACGAGAACAAAAAGAAAGGATATTTCTCAAAATTGTTTATAACGAGGACAGAAAAAGATACATTTCTCAAAATTGTTCGTAATCAGGACAGAAAGAAAAGAAATTTCTCAAAATTGTTTACAACGAGAACAAAAAGAAAGGATATTTCTCAAAATTGTTTATAACGAGGACAGAAAAAAATACATTTCTCAAAATTGTTCGTAATCAGGACAGAAAGAAAAGAAATTTCTCAAAATTGTTTATAACGAGGAGAGAAAGAAATTTCTCAGTATTATTTATAACGAAGACAAAGAAAGAGATTTCTAAAAATTCTTTCTAACGACGACGGAAAGAAAGGAAGTTTCTAAAAAATATTTATAACGAGGACAGAAAGAAAGGACATTTCTCAAAAGTTTTTATAAGAAAGAGAGAAAGGAAATTTCTCAAAATTGTTCATAACGAGCATATAAAGAAAGGAAATTTTTCAAAATATTTTCTGACGAGGACAGAAAGAATTTTTTAAAAAATTCTTTAAAATGAAGACAGAAATTAATTTGTTTAGAGTTATCCATAATGAAAGATAATGGGAAAAAGAAGAAAAAAGATTATTGGTAAAAAACGTTTTATATAAATTATTTTGAATGAAGAAAAGAGAATTGGCTTTATTTTGAAGCATTTGAAAAATAGATACAAAGAAAAAATTTTTCCGATTTTGTTTAAATTAATTATTGATATTTTTATCGTGTCATTTCATGAAAAACATCTATCCAATATGAATTTTTAAGCCAGAACTCCAACTCGATTCGATATCTGACCTATAGCTTCATACTGTCACGATCAGAAAAAGAAAAAAAAGAGGGAAGTGACAGGCTACCAGCGCTAAGGAACTGCGGGGGCGCAATTGGATTATTTTTTTTTTTTGTGTATTCTGGAACACATGTTCACATACAAGGACTTACCAGAATCTGTTACATGAATATGTACATCGCTGTCTTTAATTTTTCAAAGAAATAACCTATTACACTGTTTTATAACATGTTATTTAATTGATGGATGTTCAGGTGGTGTAATGAAGTGCGGCTCGGAATGAGAAATCGGAGAGCAGAGTTCGAATTCCACTCGATTTCGTAACCTTCATTTACGCACAAATATCCTTAGAAAAGTTATGAATCCATCTCTTCCCCCAGCTATGGGTTAAATAGTAAAACAGACTGGATTCTTCAGCCTTGGTTGGCAGCCAGTATAGAACTCTTAACTATCGGCATGTTGAAATCTGCAAAACTATTTTAATTATTTATTCTTTTAAATGTAAGTGCGATATACATAGGACAACTTAACTTTTGGATCGTGTTCCGGCATTTATAAAAAGAGATCAGCTGATTGATAATTTGCATAAATTTGTTGCATCTGGTTCTGCAATTCTGGAGCACCTGATAAATAATCGTCAGTATGCTGCGGCGTACCGGGAGAACATGTTCTCTGTGTTGTGTAGATCGCATCTTACAGTGCTGGAAACAATTTTTATTAAGTCCATCCAGCCTTCTCTGTGTAAACAAGGAATAGCTGCTTGGTCTTAATGTGAGTTGCATTTAAATATATTGCCGCTCATATATTATTAAAGTGTGTATTTTGTGTTCTTTTTAATCGCTACGTACTTTTATTTTATTATACTTGATTGAGTTTTGACAAAAGGGGAGTGAAAGGGGTTAACTCCAAAACGTTTTTGCTTGCTTACTTTTTCTCTTGCTTTTTAACTTCATATTTTAAATATATCCATTTTTCATGTCATTATTAAATTCGATACCTCCAGGACAATTTTTATTAGTTGTCATATTGTTTAATAAACATATTGTTTAATTCAAGTACAGTAAAAAAATAAATGTTGAAATATAAAATCTGAACAAACATTTTGACGTTTTAAGAATCCAGAAGGATATTAAAACCTTTCTTGTTCTTCAACCTTCATTGTGGTGTTAGCTGCATTTTCAGATGTGTTATTGTACATATCTGAAAAACAACTGGACTAAATGATCCTACATTGTCTACAGGGTAAACTCTAAGCCAACTGAATACATTGTCTCTAATCGATACCTGATTGGCGTCAAATTTATTTAACTGGTTTAAATTTGGCCCTGCTAAATCCTTAGCAGTTGTGAATAATGAATTTCCAAAGTATTATTCTCAGAGAAATTTGCCGATACTTTTTTTTTCCACCCCAAGCAAGGCGGGAAGCCGCTCGGACGCAAGGGGTTACAAAAGATTTGGAGCAAAATCAGATAGGATTGATAGAGGAAAGGATGAGGAGAAGGATAGTGGATAGATCAAGGCAATTGGAGATGTCGATTGACATTACATTTGAATAGTTGGAGATTATAGCTCTCAGGGAAACTGGAATAGAAAAGGGAGTTCCACAGGCGAGAGGTGCGAGACATGAAGCTATTGGAGTAGAAGAGACGGCTACATTTAGGAGTTTCGACAGTGAAAGGGGTGAGAGCGGGATGCCAGTCTCGTAGGGCGCTTGAACTCATGAAGTCTGGGAACCAGCGAATGCAGCTCCTCGGAGCAATTACCATGAAAGAATTTGTGAAAAAAGACAGAGAGAGGCGACGGCGCGTCTGTGAGAGAGCGACTGTAGACGAAATGCCAAAACAGGGCCAATTATATTGCATATCCGCCTCTGGAGCTTATCAAGAACCCCGAGGCAATGCCACAATCTCGGTGCTTAGCCACACCAAATTAACCTTTACAAGTTATGAATATGGCAATTTAATCCTTTAATCTCAATGATCCCGTTTATGGAACGGTGGAGATTAACAGCTATTAGACAGAAACCTATAATTAATACAGGATTTTATTTTAATTTTTTAATTAATACCGCATTTTACAATCCAGATTAATTGGTTAAACAAACATTGTTATTTCTAAGCCTTTCGAAATTTCCGAGAAAACTGTAGTGTATACACAATAAAAGCAAATATATGAATCTGGAACCAATAGGAAAGTAATACTTAAGTTTAATCTAATTATTTTATTAGGACAACTTCTTTGTACAATGAATTCTTTTCATAGAATTGATTAAGTTTCTGATGTATTTAATTCAAGGAATTCAATTAGCGTTTAGATTATTAATATTATTATTCAGTGTGCTTTTACACCATTTGTAAATGGTAGCTTACAACAAGAGATTATGGGACAGCAAGTATTGTCAATGGACTCGCACTTTCCGCAGTATTCTTGTTTTTAGTAATGTGGTCGTCTTATTATTTGTTATCATTTCCTTTCTGTTTTGTTGTATACTCATTGCCTTCCGGGTGTCAAACAGATATCTAAGTTCAGAAAAGGTATCATGACATTTTCCGCTGCACACTTGTGTAAAAAAAAAAACAAACAACTACAAACACATACACATTTTACATAGATAAAGCCCTTTGTAGGGTGTGAGCAATGCTTGTGAGAAAAATATCATTATTGTTTTTTTTTTTCCTTTGATTTCTGGCGTTTACACATTTCTTTCCGGCTCCCGTCCATGGATCTAAGGTTAGAAATGGCATCATGACACTTTCCACTGACCAAAAAAAAGAAAAAAATTACATAGATAAAGCCCTTGGTAAGGTGTGGGCTGTACTTGTCAGAATAATTTTTTGTATCTCTTTGAGGCATGGACTTCCAGGGATCCCTTCAATTACTCTACTGGAATCTTTTCCAACCAATCCTAGGGCTCCAACTACAACAGGGTTTGTTGATGTTGCTATGTGCCACATTTTTGAGATTTCTATTTCAAGGTCCTTGTATTTTGACAGATTTTTGAATATCTTCAAATATAGATTATAGTTTACAGAGACTGCCATATCAATAAGGAGGCACTTTTTTGTTTGTGGTCTTTAATAACGATGTCTGGTTGGCTTTGATTGTTCTGTCAGTGTATATTATGTAGTCCCATAGAATTGTAACAGGTCCTATCTCCGTAACCGGGTCTGGGTGGTGTTCATACCAGTTTCTTTCAGTTTCCTTCCCGTAGAAGTTGCAGATTTTCCAGTGCAGATATTGGCCCACTCTGCCATACCGG